TAAAGTTCCAAGGATCCACAGTGACAGTATATCCAAATCTCATCCCAAGATCACATGCACTACACTCACCCCCCCTTCAGAGATGTCAATGTCTTCATTAACTATTGACTAGCAACCCCTACTAAGCCAAGGGGAACCAGCATCTCCATTTCCGCACTCAATCTACCAATCCTTCTATTGTGTAAACCAGCTATTCCATGTGAGGCAACTAGTCATCCACCTCCTTCCATTGTGTAGACCAGCTATTCCATGTGAGGCAACTAGTCATCCACCCGTACCGCAGTCCCACGGTGGATACCTTCGTCCGTGGATACTCCACACAAGAGGAAGAACATACGCATGGATGCCCCACACAAGAGGTGGTTCCCCTCCATTTCCGCACTCCATTTCTGCACTCAATCTACCAATCCTTCTATTGTGTAAACCAGCTATTCCATGTGAGGCAACTAGTCATCCACCTCCTTCCATTGTGTAGACCAGCTATTCCATGTGAGGCAACTAGTCATCCACCCGTACCGCAGTCCCACGGTGGATACCTTCGTCCGTGGATACTCCACACAAGAGGAAGAACATACGCATGGATGCCCCACACAAGAGGTGGTTCCCCTCCATTTCCGCACTCAATCTACCAATCCTTCTATTGTGTACGCATGGATGCCCCACACAAGAGGTGGTTCCCCTCCATTTCCGCACTCAATCTACCAATCTTTCTATTGTGTAGACCTCCATTTCCGCACTCAATCTACCAATCCTTCTATTGTGTAGACCTCCATTTCCGCACTCAATCTACCAATCCTTCTATTGTGTAGACCAGCTATTCCATGTGAGGCAACTAGTCATCCACCTTCTTCCATTGTGTAGACCAGCTATTCCATGTGAGGCAACTAATCATCCACCCGTACCGCAATCCCACCATTTCCGCACTCAATCTACCAATCCTTCTATTGTGTAGACCAGCTATTCCATGTGAGGCAACTAGTCATCCACCTCCTTCCATTGTGTAGACGAGCTATTCCATGTGAGGCAACTAATCATCCACCCGTACTGCAGTCCCACGGTGGATACCTTCGTCCGTGGATACTCCACACAAGAGGAAGAACATACGCATGGATGCCCCACACAAGAGGAAGAACATACGCATGGATGCCCAATACGTACGATTTCAAATTTAGGGGTAGGAATATACCTTGCTCAAAGGTATACGTACGATTTCAAATTTAGGGGTAGGAATATACCTTGCTCAAAGGTATATTATATTTTTAAGTAGCCACTAATCAATAGAAATCGAACCCGTGTCATTTCCTCTGATACCAACTGTAGTGCACTTTATCTCTCCCCTTAAACCAACTGGAAAAGGGGCAATTGCTTAATGAGAGAGCCCTTAGTGGCTATTTTATCCCCATTTATCCCCCAAGGTTCCAAGGATTCACAGTGACAGTATATCCAAATCTCATCCCATAATCACATACGCTACAAAAATATAGTATAATAAGAGCTTTACATTAACATTTATAGCTTTCACCATACTTGCAAAAGCATGAAGGGGTAACTACCCACAACTCACCCCATGATATAATTTACAATTTAGGATAATAAAAGGTTATGTGATTAGCTCACTTTATATATATATATATATATATATATATATATATATATATATATATATATATATATATATATATATATATATATATATATATATATATATATATATATATATATATATATATATATATATATATATATATATATATATATATATATATATATATATATATAGATATATATATATATATATATATATATATATATATATATATATATATATATATATATATATATATATATATATATACATATATACATATATACATAAAACAATAAGAATTTTCATTTGGGATTTCAATTACTAATAAAGGAAATAAATAGTTAAAACAAGAACTATGCAAAATAGAACTCAAAAAGACTATATAAATATAATATTCTTCTAAGTTGTTGAAATATTTAAATTGTACTTTTGTAATTTTGTAGTCCACTTATGTGTACACTTTCTCTCTAACCTCTTGCCTTTGGCTCAAGTACTCATTCACTCTATAGAGAACGCTTGTTGGCTTAACTGCCATTCTAGAATATTTCTACTTTTCACTCAACCCCAAGCGTTCTTCCAATAATTGAAACTTACAGTTAATGCTGGAAGATTAATCGGCACCACCTTGGCTAGAAACGACGTTCCAGCCCGATTGATATCCGAGCGGGGGCAGATAAGAAGGAAATTACTGTTCATCGAGATAGAGACGACGGGCATATTCCCCGGCGGCTGCATGGCCGCTGGCACGTGTCTGGCCAAGCTGGCTGGCGTCATTTGATTTTTTTTTCCTTTGCGTCTATGCCTGTATGGAAAACACAGACATAGAACAAACACTGTTTTGTATTTTCACTCTCCAATGGCGCACGAAGCGAGCATCAAGGTCGAGATTCCCAGCCGCCTCGAGGAGCTCTGGGAGCTCTCGCCTCATCTCCCATCTCCACAGCGATTAAACGCCGCATTCGACAGCATCGCGGTCTCTTCCTTTCCCCCACTCGGAGAAGCCAAAGGTGAGCTCCTCTTTCTCTTCTTGATCTTGTTTTAGCTCTTTTCTTCATCGCTGCGCAGTGATCGAAATAGCATCAGACGCGAGCATTGCGGAAGCTGTCCAGATTCTAGCGAGGAACAACGTTTTGAGCGCACCTGTGAGAGATGTCGAGGCCCCCGACGACGCGAGCTGGATCGATCGGTACATAGGAATCGTCGAGTTTGCTGGCATCATCTTGTGGCTCCTCCAACAGGTTGGCCTCTGTTCTTTTCGTTTTCCTATGGTTGTGATTTGAAGCTGTGAGTGTTCCAGTCCGGAGTGTCGTCTCCCAAGGCTAGTGCAAAGCTTGAAAATTTGCAAGCAGCGGCACTCGCATCTTCGGGGAGCTTTGGACGTACAGCTGTTCCAGAGCCGTATCCACCGGAAGTTTTAGAAAGCGATTTCTTTGAAGAACTTACTTCCTCCTCCTGCTACAATCAAAGCAAGGTCAGTCCAGCAAAACAAAGATCAAAGAAAAAGACTTACACGAGAGGTTTCAGGTGAAAGACATCGTTGGATCGTTTAGATGGGCTCCATTCCTCCCGGTGCAAAAATCCGACACTCTTCTCACAGTGCTACTGCTGCTGTCGAATTATCACATGAAAAGCCTCCCGGTTGTGGAATCTGGACGAGCAGAGATACAAGGTCTCATCACGCAATCAGCAGTAGTTCATGTTCTCTCGCAGTGCATTGGCATACCTTGGTTCGACAGCCTCGGTAAGCTGTCGTTAGCTCAGCTTGGCCTCCCATCGACAACATCAGCCAAAATGTTGAAGGCATGCCAACCATCTCCTTCCTTTATCTCATTCGTCGTTGTACCAATATCTTTCATAAACTTTCCAGATCGTGGAAGACGAGCCAGTTCTTCGAGCGTTTCGAGTGATGCGGTACCACAACGTTGGCGGCTTGCCTGTCATCACAAAGTCTGACAACAAACCAATCGGTAACATCAGTATCAGAGACGTCCGGTTTCTACTTACAGCCCCACAAGTTTACAAATCTCACCGGTATAGTCTCATTGTAGTTCTCCAGTGCCAAACTTAGCTTTCCTCTCTGCAGAACAATAACAGCGAAGGATTTCCTCCAAGTTACAAAGTCGATCTTGCAAAAAGACCAGCCTTCCTCACCGATCCTCCACCCTGTCATCGTTTGCACGTCGAGTGAGAGGCTCCAGGACGTGATCTCCAAGCTGGACAGGGCCCGAATCCACCGCATCTACGTCGTGGACAAGCACGGCCACCTCGAAGGCGTGGTGACCTTGAGAGACATCATCTCCAAGTTCGTGGACGAGCCTCCGGGTTACTTTGGAGATTTCTTCGCCGGCGTAGTTCCTGCCACAAGAACTTGCAAAGTGTGAATTCTTCCTGTCAGTTACAGAATGGTAAGAACATACCAGTGAAACAAACGTGGATCTCCCAAGTTCGTGGAGCAGCGTCCGGACGCTTTATTGTGTAGTTCCTGCCACAAGGAACTCAAACATGCTGTAAATCTGTAAGAACAAACCCAGTGAAAGACTTGGATGAGTAGAGGATTTGGTTTATTGCGCTGCTGCCTCTTTCAAGCAAGATCTCATAACATCGCCAATCTTGGCACAGGCATCCAAGCAGAGGTCCAATGATTCCGAGGCCCTGGAGCTGGACCATTCCCCGGTCATGGTAACTTGCGTGATCTCTTTTCTGGAGGGCATATAAGCCACCATGAGACTACCATCCTCGCAATTCTCTTCGCTCGTCGAGGGATCCAACAGGACCTGGCCTTGGATACTACTGACCGACACCGCTGCTACTAGATCATACAAGACGATCCCCGCGTCGGCTAGAGCGAGCGATGCGCAAGTGACGATCACCGGAAGATCGCCACCCCCGGATTGAAGAACAAGCGCGAAGACGTCGACGGTGGTCTTGGGGAACGTTCGAAGATCCACAGCGCCCACCACAGACTTGTAGAGCATCGATGAGAGATCCCTCTCCTCGGCATTGGCAGCGCCCATCTTCCCTCTCACAGGCGTCGCGAAGGAGCAGTACTTGACGTTGCAATTGAGCCGCCCAGCGTCGCTGAATGCCTCGGCCTTCTTGCTCTCGCGAGGCCCAAACACGGACACGATCACCTTGGTGTCGCCCGACTCCGCGTAGGCCGATCCCGCCGCCGCCCGGACGGCGCCGGTGCGCAAGAATGCCGCGCGGCACATCTGTGCGTGGCGCCCGTCGATCCTCTCTCCATCGCTGGAAAATACGGGGGCGCGATGGGGCTCTTCCTCCAGCGCCTGCGTCGATCGCTGCTGCCGCGCCATCGCTCTCGGTGCTTAAACCCAAGGCCCCCAAGAACCCTAAAAATGCCAATGCGAGAGTTTAGGGTTCTTGCGATGAAGACGACGAAAGCGGGGAATGTAGCTCTTTTGTTTCCTTGTGTAGCCGCCGGCCAAGCATGGAATTTAGGATTTATACTGGAGTACCTCGCGGATTCGATGCACTCGTGTTGGGATCCCCAGATCCAGCTCCATGGCTTCGCCAAGTTCTGGCTTGACGGTTGCCGTGGGGATCTCCGTCCTGGCTTTCAGCTTCGTCTCGGCGATCATCGTGGTCGCGATTTATTGTCTCAAGAGGAGGTTCTCGCATAGATCAGAGCCGATCGGATTTATTTCGCTGGAACAAGGTAGGCACTCTTTTCCCTTTCTTTCTCCATCTAAGTAGTGGAATGTTTTTCACCAGTTGCTTGGAAGAAGGAAGCTAACAGCATTGATGTTCCAACGCAAGCACGCCCCTTCCAGCTCCTGGAAATCAAAGTTGCTACCGAGAGCTTTAGCAGGAAGCTTGGAGAAGGAGGATTTGGGCCAGTTTATCACGGGATTCTCCCTGACAGCCATGAAATCGCAGTGAAAGTCCAGTCCTATGATTCCAAGCAAGGAGCGAACGAGTTCTTCAACGAGGTAAGCCCTTTGAAGCACTGTTCTTTCTTTTGCTCTTGTTACAGTGGTATCACTCCAGGTCCAACTCCTGTCAAGAGCTCACCATCGTCACGTCGTCTCGCTGGTCGGCTACTGCCACGAAGCGAATTCTCGGATGCTAGTTTACGAGTATCTCTCTGGAGGAACGCTCGAAAGAAACCTTCACGGTAAGATAGTTTACTCGTCATGAATCGACTGCCATTGTTCTGGAACTCCAGATATCAGCTCGAAGACACTCTTCTCTTGGAAAACCAGGCTAAAAATCGCGCTTGATGCTGCCAAAGGTACGTTTTCGTGCTGTCGATGTTTTCGAGGAGCTCATTCACTCTTGCAGGGATCGAGTACCTGCACTGCGGCTGCAATCCTCCAATCATCCACCGAGACTTGAAGAGCGGCAACATCCTCTTGACGAGCGCAATGCAAGCCAAGGTTGCGGACTTTGGCCTCTCAAAGCTGGTGGAGGGAAGTCGCATCTTTACAGCAGTCAAGGGTACGTCAGGCTATGTCGATCCTGAGTATGTTCTTCATCTCTTCCCATGATCTATCTTTCTCTTTGCAATACTGATCATTTAATCGTGTTTTGGATGACACAGGTACTATGAAACTCAAGAGTTAACACAGAAGAGCGATGTTTACAGCTTTGGGGTGGTGCTGCTGGAGATCATCTCCGGAAGAGAAGCTTTGATCGACACCCCCAAGCCTCGCAAACAGCTCAAACTCAGCGATTGGGTAACTAAGAATTTGTTCTTTCCTTCTTCCACTTTTTCCATCGCTATAGCCGAGTCGCACTTTCTTCCAGGCCAGGGGCTTCTTGCTGGAGCGGCGAATCCACAAGATCATAGACCCCATCTTCGACGCTGTCTATAACATCGAATCCATCTGGAAAACCGCGGAGCTCGCCATGTTTTGCGTGGAGCCTCGAGCTGTCCACAGGCCTGCAATGCCGGAAGTTGTCCAAGAGCTAAAGCAAGCGCTGGACATCGAGGAAGGAAGGATCACTGTAGCAACGATCGAGGCCGCGACGCCCTTGGCTCCCGTCCAGGCCGCAAAACACCACCACGCGCGTTCCGAGCCGGTTTACTACCATCAAAACACTCGAAACTTCAGCTTTGGAACTTCCGAAGACGAATCTTACAGCTTCTCGAATTTGCGAGAGGTGAAAACAACTGAAGGAGAAACAACAACTTAGCTCGTAACAGTCGCTGGAAGAGCGAAGACCCAAGACCCAGGACTGAGAGAATGAACTTAACTAGGACGAAGCAGCGTGAAAGGTCCGACGAAAGAAGATCAACATGTCACATAGTAAACGTAGCTCTCGACTGAACGATGAGATCAAAGGAAGGAAAAAAAAACCAGAGAACTTAGCTGCAAGTTCGAACGGAAGAAGATCAATAGCAAAAGTAGTGAACTTAGCTCTGGACTGAAAGATCCGATCAAAGGAAGCAAAGAAAAAAAATAAACCAGAGCACTTAGCTGCAAGAGGAGAATGGCAGTGGCGTGCTACACCATGGACACACCGTGGAAGGATCGGTCTCGAAGAAACTGGCCAGGCGCATGGTTGTCTGGAGGGAGATCTTATTGGAGGAGATCATGTGAGTCAGCACGTGACTCAGCTTCTTGTTCCAGAGGCCCTCCACGTAGGCGAGAACCACGTCCCACGTCGGCAGCCCCACGGCGATGGCGTCCAGGTAGACATCGAGGAATAGCTGATCGTAGTCGCGCAGTGGCATGCCATAGTCCTGCTTCATCCCTTCCAGCCGCCGCAAGAGTAGCGATCGATCGCCGCGGCAGCTCCTCCAGTCGTCGTTGGGCATGAAGAATCTGACGAGCTCGGTCTTGAGCTCCTTCCAGCTCCGGATCCCTGGCGCCCCGGCGCGGCGCTCCGGCGTGAGATTGGGGGAATTCTTGGATCGCGGCGCCCCGCCATTGCGATCTTGGTGGGCGATCTTGGATGCTGGATCGTTCTTGTTGCATGGCGATGACGAGCCGGAGCCGACAATGCGCCACCACTTGTGCGCGGCGCCCGAGAGATGGAAGACCGCGCAGTCGATCTTTTCCTGCTCGCTCATCGATGGGCCGCAAATCTGGAAGAAACCGTCCATCTTGCTCACCCATTCCTCGATCGCGTCCGCGTCCCACTGCCCCTCGTAGACGGGGAGATCCACGCCCTTCCACCTGAAAACCTCTAGCCGCTGGTGATCGAGATCGGGATCCCAGGACGAACTGGAGAGGGAATCCGGCGATGCCGATCCTGGTGCCGGTGACAAGAATCCGCCCCAGCCATTCTCGTCCTCGTCGTCCGCGAATGGAAATTCCGGGATCACCAGAGGCGAGGATCGGGGGGAGGATCTGGGCGAGCTTTGGGGCTGGATCCTCCGCGGCGAAGGCGACGGCGACGGCTGCCGCGGCCGCTGCTCGATCGCGGGATTCTCCTCGTCGGAGCGCACGAAGAGAGGATTGGCGTGTTCTTGGGGCTGCTGCTGCTGCTGCTGCCGGGGCGGGATTGGAACGATCTTGACGGCGTAGTGGTGGCGAACGTCACTGATGCGCGAGCAGCAGCCGCCAAGATTCAATCCCAGGCCCATCCTGGCGTTGCGCCTCGAATCCACGAACGAAGGCGCCATGGCGGGCCTGTAAAAGCCAGATTCTTTGCGCTCGCCGCTATTCATTGGCAAGAACACGAAGAACAAGGGCTCGCGCGGGGGAAAAGAAAACTCTGGGAAGAACACTAGCCCTAAGGAAATTTGACTAGTCCCGAACGTTGACGTTGACTAACATACAGGAGCCTTGCATGGTCGATATGCTGCACGACTTGATCCACATGCAAAGAAGAAGACCGAAGTGCACCGAGTATAGAGCGTGGAATGAGCAAGATTCTCAAACAATTCACAACACACTTGCATTTTGCATCCATCAGTCTCATGCTTCAAAAAGGGGCACCACCAGATTATCCAAACAGAGATAGAAAGATAGTGAACGCCAGGTTTCACTGCTGCATAGTTTCAGGTCCTTGTTTGCTCTATGAAAGCCACCATTTAGCAGACAAATGTGTCTTCTCCTCAAGCACTCTTTGTCCAGCTTGCCAGAGCCTTAGAGAACAACGCAACGAAAACTCATGAAGAACAAGACAAGCAAAAGAAAACTAGGCATATCCTCCATGCTGTTCCAACAACACCGACTGAACTGTGTTTTCCCCTAATTATTTCAGTTTCACCACATATGGTCTTTACATTATTTGTGGTAGATATCTCTACAGTGAAGATATGATTATCGAGGTGCCATCATTGTTCTTTCTGGATGAAGCATTGATCAGTTGGACCAGCAAGCAGCAAACTTCTATAGCTCTCTCATCAACAAAAGTTGAGTACACTAAAGCCACCTTGGCCAGTGTGGTTACAAGAAACAAATCAAAAGTCAAGCTCCACCTCTAGTGAAGAGTGACAAGCCATCTAACTATGGAATCTGAGGTATCACTCAGATAAAACACTTTGATATCAAGGTACATTCATTCAAGAGCAGGTACGCAAGAAGATTCCCTGGAGCATATCTCTACTAAGTGCAACCAAAACATTGACTCATTCAAGTTACATAGAGTTCATTTCTATTGCAAAAAATATAAATTCCTAATGACCTTCCACTCAGGGAGGATTCATGATTTGCATCTGATCTGTATATATTGTAACTCTATTGTAACTAAAATTGTGATGAGCTTAATATATCTGCAGTCATTTCCTAGGTGGAGATATATACTCCATTCAAATCTTGTATTCAACCTGCTCTTGAATGAAATGTACCTGATATTCAAAGTGCTTTGTCCTTAAGTGATACCTGGGGTTCCTCTACAGCTTGATGGCACTTCGATTGTCACAAAATATCTTTACTGAATATGAATTTGAATTTACTTCTTGCAGCCACAATGTTTAGGGCAGAAATTGGAAAATAGAAATATTGAAAATTATAGAGGGCGTTAAAAACTGAAAATTTGGGAAAAGGTAGGTTAAAAAAGCAATAAAGTCTCTATCCAAAAGAATATATTGATTGAATCTTTTATATTAAAACTGGTAAAATAATAATTGGACTGAAAAATAAAACCTGTTTTACGGGAAAAAGGGTGAAAACTGCCAGTTGGCTATAGTGGACTCAATTTCAAACTTTTCGCTTTTTGAGTCTGTAACCTTATGAGCTGCATTTTTAGAACAGCAGCTGCATAGATGACGCCACAAGTCTGTTCTATGCAGATAGCCATGATCACCGCTTGTGCCGACCACCCGTTTGCATGACACGGCAAGGTTGAACTTCACGAGCCTCCCAGAGCAGGACATGTTCTCTTGGGATGCCCTCCTAGCCCCACTGCATTTGGACGTGGTGTCAACACTAATATCGGGTGGTACCCAATATCAGTGTCAGTATCGGTGGTTTCCTCCACCAGGCCAAGAGACTCTCTGACAGAGTGCTGGATCGAAGTGTGATGCTGTGGACATCGGCCTCCAGGTCTGCATTCCTGGGCTGGTGTCTGTGGCTCCCAAGGCTGAAAAGCTAGTGTTGTGTGAGATGGCCCTGCCTGCCCCAAGAAGCATCACCCCTCCTGGCTCCAGTTTTTTCCCCATTCTACAACCAAGAAGCCAGTGTTTGTGACTAATGTTGGTTGGGCAATGAACAAGATCAAAACACTGGCAAGCTGAGATAAGAGGGGTACTCATCTTCGTCTTGAATCTGCAGGGCCTTCTCTACTTCCGGCTTTTCCAAACACGTCACCGTGCTCTACCGTGGAGGTTGATGGGCTCGAGTTGGAACAAGCCATCAATCTTCTCCATGGCCAAGATCTGCCACAATGGGAACGTGACATCGACATGCATTCTGGAGGGGTTATTCAAACACGATGGAGCCCTAAACATTTTGGTTTTAATGGAGGAGACTATGGCGAGAGCGCCAGTGATCTCCGCCAGAGCCTCCAGCGGCTCAATGAGTGCCTCTTTCCGGTCAAGTACAAGGACACTTACTACCGGGATGCCGTGCTCGCGGGGAGCTACACGAAGCTAGGTCAATGGAGGTTGATGGACTCGAGTGAGGGATCTGGATAAATCCACACCAAGCCAAAGAGCTATGGAAAACATTGGCAAGGCTGGATTACTAGATTAAGAACACTCCAACTGGATGTTTTTGCATAAATCTTGTTTTCGCAAGCCTGTGGTTTTTTTTTATGTATGAAGCTCAAACAGGGACTTGAGCAATCCAACCAGACTAAATGGATATTTCCTAAGTTTTGTACAGAAACAAAGAACAAAAAGTTATTTGAGCTAGAAAAAAAGAAAAACTGGGATCATCCAACGAGCTCTGTCTTTAGCTGACAATTATGTGTTGGATTTGTCATCATTGGCATCCAAAACTTGAGTTCTTGGTTGCTCCAAGATGCTAAGTCTTGCAAGTCAGGATTTAGTCTCCTTGCAAAATCTTTGACTTCCCTAAATCTCTATTATGTATGCCACCTTGAACGAAACTAGCACTTGGAAATTGGATTGGAGATGAAGAACCTTGTTTTTCGAGCTCTAGAGACGAGAACAAAGCTCTCAAGCAAAACAATGTGGAAGAAGAGAGTACACACGCACATACCTTCTTTGAGAAGCTGTCCAGGGACATGATTCTCTAGCCTAACTCTTCCTGAATCAGAGAACATTTGAGTGAAAGGAATACAAAGTTAAAAAAAACAAAGCTGGTTTAAGAATACAAACCAAGCTACAAATGTTCCACTCCCGGGCAAGTATATCAATATGCAAAACTACATTGGAACCATAGTCTTCGCTCCCATGCCACCGCTATATGAATCGACATCACAGCTTTGGGAGGGCTTTGGGAGGGCAATGGAGGCTATGGTCTCCATCCGGCGATGGTGGTGGAGTGGCAATGCCATCAATTCGTGTGTGAAACAAAGACGCAATTTCCTGCAGCTCCATCCCCCAAGAAGGTAGAGCTTGCTGCCCAGAGCCTGGCACACGAATACCCATGCCTTTGGTGAGGAGGAATCCAGTGCCACTGGGTATCAACCTCTTATCGTCCAAGACTTGTCTGGCTCTGGAGTCTGGCGAATAGTTGATGATCAACTGCGAAAGGAGCAGCGCAAATTTCCCGCACAGGGAAGCGTGCTGGATCGATGAGCTAAGCACCGGCAATGCACATTCTTCTTGCTATCACTATATGCCCGGTTTGGGCATATTGACAAGGAGATCAACGCCTTTCACTCGATTCAGGATCCCAATGTCTTCTCCTGGAAAATCCTTTTTCTTTTGCAGGAGAGGAAGTTTTTCGATGAGAAGCTCGTCCTACTAGACACCAAGACGTTGTGTGAGCTCAAGTTGGCAGCCGAACGCCTTGAGATGGACTTGACCAGTCGACTCTAGCTCGGATGATGGAAGGAAAGTCACCGAAAGAGATCCGGACTGCCAGACGATCTAACTTAAGTAGGAAGCTAATGTTATAGATCTCTAACAGGCATGAAGTTTTGTGACTACTCATTAAAGAGCTTGCGAACTGATTAATTCCTGCTCGGCTGTGGACAAGGAATGCATTTTTCTGGGGAGCTTTATCCAGATTGGAGATGTAGACATGGTGGCGTCGTTTAAATTGCAGCACAGCATGAGATGAAGCCAAAGAAAGGTTTGATCGATAAGAAGGATCAAATCTCATGAACACAATGTTAGAAGCATCAAATTCATGATCACGGCTCTTTCTCCCCAAGGTGGATATTGTGAAAAGCCTTGCTCTTTCAATCCGCTTAGGACCACCAAAACTACAACACAAGTCCGTCCACAAGCCATCCAGCAGGCTGTTCCCCTCCTGCTACTAGCGACAACTAATTAAGTTGCTTCGTTTCTTCTTCCCCTTTTTTAGCTGCCACTTAGCTCAAGTTTAGGTTGAAGGTCGGACGAGATGTCTTGCGGCCCGGTCCACTCTGCCCAGGTGAGAAATAAGCGAGTAAAGAAAGTGAACCTGTTTGCAACGAGAGGTATGATCAACGATAAAAGAAAGGCTAGTGGCAATCAAGAATTCGTGTTGAAACTCTCAACGTTTGAAGACGATTGCAACGCGAAAAGGAGCCAAATGATATGCTCAAACAACTCAAACAAGCAAAGTACAAAACAAGGGCCAAGGAACTCTCAACGCGAAGGGAAACTCACCGATGTGGACAATACGAACGATCATTGAAAGTTGACGATACTTAGCTTCAGGTTTGCGTGTGTTTCAATTAGTTCTAATTTCTAGTCATGAAGAGGCCAAGTGACCTGCTGAACGACGATAAGAACTGGAAAACGCCATGTCGCAGCGTGCCAAGAAGAAAAATGCTACGAGATTGGAGAGATTTTGTGTCAACGTGTTTGTCAACTCTTTGAGTTATGTTGTTGTTGCGCTCAACGCAAGACCTGCGAGCTGAGAAACAACGTTGCCTGTGATCTTCAGAACCTCAATCCAGCTGAAGACGTACATGACAATTGTCCAACCTCAAAGATCAACTCGTATACTGTTTGTTCTGTTTGCTGTTCAACGAAATGGACATCAGGTTCGTTAACTGTTTGTTCAACGAACTGGACAACGCCCGAAAACAAGTCACGGTCCGGGAGCAAGGGTGAATGAGGGCTAGAGGCTTCAACCTTCCAGGTCTATGTTCTCTATTAACTTCTTTTTGTTTTTGCAATGCCATGAGATTGCAACGGTGCCATAGAACAACGTTAGATAGAAGCTTACGCTGTGGCAGTGGCAAAACCAGACGATCTACACAAAGCTACCCTGTGGTTTCCTTGAAAAGAAATGAATACATTTACAAAGTTGCAAGTAGTTTTGTCAAAAAACGCGAAAGTAGCTTGTGAGCTTCCCAGAGACGAGCGTCTGGGCGTACTCAAGAGCTCGTTAAACCTCCTGTAGCTGTCCGAGCTTGAAGACCTTAGCTCGGTAGTGGATTCTCATGCCTTGTTCCAGAGCTTTCAGTTTGATCATCTTCCCACCAATGAGTCTCAGCCGCTAGAGCCGAGCAAGCCTTGATGGACGCGAAGAAAGTCCCGGAATCCGGTGCAGAGACCTGGATTTCCATCCATGAGAGATTCTATGCCATTCTGTGCGTGTCCCAAGATGAAAGCATTCCAGGCCACTACATTGTGGCAAGGCATCCTGTCAAACACCCTCCTCGCCTCAACCAGGCTGCCACACCTCCCATACAAGCCGATCAAGCTGCACGAAACGTAGAGATTGGAGCAAACCCCCCTCTGGATGGCGCTCTAGCTCAACCCTGAAAGGAGCTCCTCTGAGCAGTCTGTGCTGTGACCCTTGTCCCAATCTGTGGCAGTACCTGTGGAGCGCGGGTCGAAGGAAATGCATCCATCCGTCGAGCGCCAAAAGAATCTTTTGTCGAAGAGCCCTAAAATTCCGAAGAGCCGAAGGCACTGTAGCTGATAGGATTCGAACCTTGGACTTGTGATTTGTGCGCCTGACACCCCTACCAAATGGTCTAGGGCTTTTTAGTGAGCCAGCGAACATGAAGTAGTGGTATTTATTGCGAAGAATTTTTTTTACTAAAGTCCTTGTTGATTGGACTCTTCGGCCGCCTCGAACCCGGGTCATCTACTTCCGGTCCACCTCTACACTTACCTGATAACCAATTCCCCAGCAACCGGGTTCGCATTATTTTATTATCATACCTTGTACTTAACCCATACAAGGCCAATGTTAATGTTCTTCCTTTCCCGCGCGAGACGCCGCTGCCATTGGGCCTGCCGACAAGGGCTTCAGAGCCCATCGTGAGCAGCGTCGTCCAGGTGAAGCTTTGCTTGGCCTAGCCCGGGCTTATGCCACAAGCAGCACATTCCACGACACGAGGCGGCATCGGGAAGGAGGTGTTTGATCGGAACCTTGTGGCGTGGAACACGCTGCTTGCTGCATACTCGAAGCAGGGGCTTGTGGGTTGGAATGCAATTCAGACACAGCTTTGTGTCACGGTGATAGTGCTTTGCTCCACTCAAATCCGGCCTCACACAGTGGTGCTTGAGCTCCCGGGGAATTTGCTCGGGGCCTTTTTCCCAGCCTCGCTAGCGTGTCTTCTAAGCACGTCCTCACACCCAGATTCAAACCGATTCGAGCGTTGACCTCAGAAATCCTCCCTTTTCATGCCGTCGGCGAAGTTCCTGGGATCCATCTCCAGCTGCCCAGACAGTCGTCTCCGCTGCTCTTGAAACAACCTTGGATCCTGGCCGCTTCCCGGAACAAAACTTCCACTCACGTTTGCCAAAGGAAGAACCGCTGCTGCCGCTGTTCCTGGAAAGCCTTGCGATCCATACACTAGTGGCTGAGTGGCCTCTACAGCTTCTCCCTGTCCCCCGACTCCTCTCCTCCAAGTCCTCCAAAGTCTAGAGTTAAGATCCTTTCCTGGCATGAAATGTTGCTGGTTGGCTGGAATAGACCATGAGAAACATTGTTGACGCTGTGGAGGCTCCCAAAGGAAGACTGTAAGATCGGCTTGAGAAAACCAGGAACTAGCTGAGACATCTTTGATTGTTCTCCAGCGTCATGGACACTATCAGTGGTGGCCATGTTTTGAGCTGCCAGCTGCTGATAATTCTCCCACTCCCACTCTGATAGACGATGAGCCCCTGGATGCCTTGAACTTATAGTGTCAGTGCCGCCGACTATGACGCTTGATCCACCACCTGTTCGATGGCATGCCCGAGAGGAGCCTCGTGTCGTGGTCGGCGATGCTAGTGGTGTTTGCAAAGAGTGGCTGCGTAGATGATGCCACAAGGCTGTTCGATGCAATGCAGATAGCCATGATCACTGGGCCAAGCTCTGTTTGCACGACACGGCAAGGGTGACGAGCCTCCCGGAGCAGGACATGTTCTCTTGGGATGCCCTCCTAGCCCCACTGCAGGCGGTGTCGACACTGATATTGGGACCCGATATCAGTGTCAGTGGTGGTTTCCTCCACCAGGCCAAGAGACTCTCTGACAGAGTGCTGGATTGAAGCGTGACGCTGTGGACGTTGGCCTCCAGGTCTGCATTCCTGGGCTGGTGTCTGCGGCGCCCAAGGCTGAAAAGCTAGTGCTGTGTGAGATGCATCACCCCTCCTGGGTCCATTCTAAAACCAGGAAGCAAGTTTTGTTTGTGACTGATGTTGGTGACCATGGGCAATGAATTGTAAGTCAACCTGCACTATGACATACCTCTCACGGACATTAGAATCCTCTTGGACTAGCATTTAAGAACCTGGAAACTATTCCTTGTGCACACAAGGTAGATCCAGCAACCTACACTTGGCTATACAGGATACTCCTCATGATGAGGACTATCCTGTATAGGCAAGCTGTAGGGAGCTTGATGCATGGCTTAGGACTTTGCACTGCCGTGAGGTGCTTGCATTTGGTTTGGCACATGGCCAACATTGTTGGACGATGAAGCGTTCAATCGCTTGAGTCAAATTCCTGTTTCCCCTTCCGTAGTCTAGCATTCTCACGCTGGAGGTTGGCCTAGCAAAATCGGCTTGCTCTCGCCCTGATCTCCCAACCCTAACTAATGGATCCAATCTGGATATTCTACACGAACTTTGCTTGCTTTGAGAGTCCGAGCCTTCCTCCTCAAGAAGCACATTCTGGACCTTCTCCATGAGCTAATAGCTTCTTAATCCGCCCCATTCCTGGGACTTTAGCAGAAGGCCCTAGATAAATGCATGTCCACTTTCGACAGAAGAGACCATAGCAACCATCCTTGAAGCTCTTGTTAAACCTTCAATGTCTCCAGCTGCCAAGCCAAACATCAAAACATTCACATAGGTCGTTCCAACGAAATCCCGCCGTTTTCCTCTCATTTCAAATTTCAAAAACTCTGCTTTTAGGATTCTTCGCTTGTCATGAGCTCCAAGAAGGCCGCCATTTGCTGCCCGCCATCGCCGCCCATCCTCTGGAGCTTCCAATTCCCTCCAATTCCCCCCTCTCCCCTGGCCTTCCTCGTGAGCCCCATCTCTTTCATCCGGCTCCTCACGAGCTCCCTATCCTCCATCTTCCCAGCGGCCGCGTAGATGTTGGAGAGCACTATGTGCGAGGCGGCGCTCTGGGGATCTAGATCATGGAGCCGCTGCGCCGCCACCGCGGCATTCTCGACTGCCCGGTGGATCCGAAAAGAACCTAGCAACGATCCCCATGCCCTGGCGTCCGGCTCGAATGGCATGCTCTCTATCAGATCCATCGCTCGCCCAAGATGTCCCAATCGCCCCAGGATGTCCATCATGAGGTTCCAGTGCTCCACCGCCGGCTGGATCCCGTGCTCCGCCGCCATGCCCGTGAAGTATCCCCAGCTCGCTTCGATCCGCCCAGCGTGATTGCATGCAACGAGCGCGTTCGTGAAGGAGATATGATCGTGCCCAATCCCCTCCACATCCATCCGGGCGAAGATCTCCAGCGCCAGATCGCCCCTGCCGCAGTGCGCGCACGCTGCCATGATCGCATTCCACGCCACCACATCCCTCTCCTCAATCAACTCGAAAGCCCTTGCCGCGCCCGCGAGGTTCCCACTCTGGGCATACGCCTGGATGAGCGCCGTGGCGGCGATGGCGTCCCTGTCTGGCATCGCGTAGAAGATGTGCTCCGCGCTGGGGAGATCGCCATTCTCGGCGAATCCCATCAGCATCGCGTTCCACACGACGCGGTCCTTCTCGGGCACAGCCGCGAATAGAGCCCTAGCTTCTTCTAGATGCCCTAATTGGGCATATGCTACAAGCATGGCCGTCCAAGATACCACTGTTCTTTGGGGCATAGAATCGAACACCCAACGTGCCGAGTCCACCTCGTTTGAGAGAACGTACCCATGCAAGAGTACCGTCCACGTAATGACGTTCGCGTATGGCATTGAATCAAACACTGCTTTTGCTTCCCCCAGATGCCTCCTCGCGGCAAATAACTGAAGAACACTTGTCCAAGAGACGATGTTCCTCTCGGGCATACATTCGTAGAGATGTTTGGTGTAATCGAGTTCTCCATGGCGTGACATCGCAGCGATCATTGAGTTGTAGCTCACGAGGCTCCGGACAGGCATAGATTGGAAGAACGTTTTAGTATCGCGCAGATCCCCAGAGAGCGTAAAGCCCTGGAGCATCACGGTCCAGGAGACGACGTTCCTCTCGGGCATGGCATCGAACAGCGCCTTGGCGGGCGCGAATTGCCCGCCAGCGACGAACGCCTGGAGCATCGACGTCCAGGAGACGATGTCGCGGACAATCATCTGATCGAAGATCCCTTTGGATCCCTCCAGGCAGGCGTTCTGGGTGTAGGCAGCGATCATCGCGTTCCAGGCGGGGGTGCTCCAGCCCGGCATCCGATCGAAGAGCCGCTTGGCGCTCTCGATATCCTTGTTCTGTGCGAGAGCGCCGATCATGGTCGTCCAGGAGAAGAGATTGGGGGCTTTGATCTCCCGGAACACCGCCAGCGCCTCGCCCGCGCTCTCGCACTTGCCATACATCTGCACAAGGAGATTGGCGAGGAAGCAGTCGTCGTGGAGCTCGCTGTGCCGGATCCGAGCGTGGACGCTCCTCCCCCGGTGGAGATCCTTGCAGTCGCCGCAGGATCTGATCAGCGCCGCGAAGAAGATCTGCGTAGATTCGCCGCTCGGCTTTGATGGAAGATCTTTGCCATCGCTCCTCTTCCTCGTCTCAAGCGCACCGCCGGCCCCAATCGCGGCCATTCTCCTTTGCGCGCAAATTCAAATTCAAAATCATTTAATAAAGAGCCATAGTCAGCCCTAGCCTTGTGCCGTTGACTTGTTACAACCGTTGACTTGTTACGTGGATGTTGGACAGCACCAAGTAGGGAGCCGGATCGCGGTCCTCGGCCATTGACTCGACCACGCTCTTCCCACCGGTTGGGTCTCCGTTGACTCCACAAGCTCCCACCGCCATTGTCAACGCCACGGAGCTCGGCTCAAACGGCATGGCGTGGACCAAGTCCGCGGCTTCCTCGGCTTGCCCAGCCCGACCCAGGAGATCGATCATGCACAAGTAGTGCTCGCAAGTTGGTGCGATTGAGAAGCTCTGGGCAATGTCTGCAAAGTAACTCAACCCTCGGCTCAAGCTCCCGAGGTGGCTGCACGCCGCGAGCACACTCGTAAATGTGATATCATCAGCGGTTACGCCGTCGAGGTTCATGAGGTGGAATAGATCCAGTGCGGATGCGGCATGCCCGTGCTGTGCGTACGCGGCCAGCATCGCGTTCCATGTAACAAAGCCCTTAGCCGGCATCGCGTTGAAGATCTCCCTTGCTTGATCCAGATCCCCGCATTTGCCATACATGTTTACCAGGGATGTTGCCACGGTCACGTCCAGGACGGCCACCTTGGTCGTCGCTACCAGGTGGTCGTGGATGGCTTTGCCGACGATCAGAGCCCAGGACCAGCACGCGCAGGCATTCAGGGCGCTGATGAACGTTATCCTGTTAGGCGCTGGATCGCTTGCCAGGTCCATGAGTCGGAAGAGGTGAATGGCCTCCTCGTTCCCGTGCTGTGCGTATCCCGAGATCATGGAGTTCCACGAGGCCGTGTTCTTGTTCGGAGTGAGATTAAACACCACCTTCGCTTCTTCCAAATGCCCGTTTGTGGCATATGCGGCAGCCATAGCATTCCAAGATACAACGTTTCTTCTTGGCATTTCATCGAAAGCGTTTCTAGCTTCCTCCAGATACCCAAATTCTCCAAGCGCGGCTATAATCGTTGTCCACGAGTAGACATCCTTTGAAGGCAGCAACTCAAAAAACAATTTTGCCTCGTCTAGATACCCTGATTGGGCATACACTGCAAGCATTGCGTTCCAAGTAATCACATTCTTGTGAGGCATTCTGTCAAATGTCTGTTTTGCCGAATCCACTCTACCAAGATTTCCGTACATGGTGACAATTGCAGTGCTGACAATAACAAGATCTTCCATCCCGGATTCAGCCACAAGCCCGTGAACGATCCGGCCTTGCCGGATCGATTCACACGCCTCGAGCGCGCTCAGGAACGTGAACTGATTTGCGCGGACGCCGTCGAGATCCATGAGCGCGAGAAGCAGTAGCGCTCCATCGCCATGACCGCGCCGGGCATACGCCGCGATCAGGATGTTCCACGACACCTCGTCCCTGGCGGGGATTTGATCGAAGACGAGCTTGGCACGTGGGTAGTCTTCGTTGTGGGCGTACGCCGTGAGCAAGAGATTCCATGAGTAGATGTTGCGCTCTTCCATGGAAGTGAAGATCTGGAGGGCCTCGTCCAGGCGCCCACACCGGCCATACATCTGGACGAGGAGATTTTGGAGGAGAGTGTTCTTGCCATGGCCGTCGCTGAGAATGCGTTCGTGGACAATTCGACCTTGATCCAGCGCCCTGGCGCTGATACACTGGCGGAGGAGATGGGTCAGTGTGGAGCAATCCGGGCGATTGAGCCGCGCGATCGCCTGAGATAACCGGGAGATTTCGGCATCGCGATTCGATCCATCTGGGCACGAGCATCTCATGTAGTAGCTCCTCAAATCAAGTTTCCCTGGACCAGGATTTCTTCGACAGGCTGAGCGGCAACTGACGCGCCTTGAGTGATCGTTCTCGCGAGCGAATTGATGAACTGATGATCGATTTCATGACGTTGATTTTCAGATCCAGATATTCCCTCAAAATGTGTGAAATGCATTACCATTCGGCAAATTTGCGTTTTCACCAAAGAGAACGAACTGAGGGCTTAAATAAACTAAGAAAGGGATTGTGAAGAGAGAGAGATTTATAATCAGGAGGTCGAGTTGCAGCGCTGGACATGTGTTGGTCCCCAGTCAAAAGAGGTGGTACGATCGAGGTTGTTTTATGGTTTTTGTCTATTAACTCTCATTCTATTCTATTTTATGTTTATAAATTGTAAATATGTTTCTAACTATTGCTGGCTGAGATAAAAATAAATCTTCAAAAATGTTCTGATTAATCTATGTAATATTAGATGGTTTGCTTAAGAAAACAAAAATATTTAAATGAACAAGCAAATACTTTGTTTTGGGAGGATTGATTTTGATTTATTTTGATTTTATTAAAAATAAACCACATTTATGCAGCAAGAGAAATAAGAATTTCTCGCTTCTTAGATGTGCATTTCTGCCTCGAGTGTAACACAGCAGAGTTATCCACGAGGAGAATGTCACCTTTCTCCCATGAGAACACCACCTCTTCCTCGAGCATTATCTCCACGAGTTCCTCGGCAGTTTCATCCTGAAGCAGTGTTCCATCCTCAAACTTGATTGTCGACTTTGGAAAGTCCTCCTTCTGCATCTTGTTGAACTCCAGAAACGTTCCAATGCTGGTGAAGATCGCCATCCTTCCAGCGCTATCTTTTTTAAACAATGGCTGTAAGGGCTGGCTCTCGAGAATTGCTTCGCCTTTGGGGAGCCAAGTTAGAGTCATGTTCTGCTTCATGGCACTGGAACACGAAAGTTAGGTAGAAAATCACAAGCATCTCGATCCTGTCGGAAGAATTTGCTTACTTGGTCTCGGCGGTCTGCTTGTCCTGGGCCGAGAAATGCATCCTCCAAGCTTTGTTGTTGAGATAGGAGTAGGTTACAACACGGCCTTTGTTGAGAAGTTGCTCCGCCAAGTGATTTCTCTCGAGAACTCGCTTGTACACTACGTGTCCTGGTACAATTGGAGTGGCTCCTCTAGTCCCAGGCTCCGGAGGCTTTGCGGCAAAAAATGCGATCTTTGAAGGGGGTTTCTTGAGCTAAGAACACAAAGAAAGAGCTATTTGATTAAGAGCAAACAAAGAGACCAAGTTACTCACATAAGCTGCCTCATTGTGGTAACCAACGTACCAATCCATGGGAAGATCGTTAGCGGTGAGAACCTTTCCATGGACCCTCTTTCGATTGGCCAGTCCACCTAGCTCCATGTAGTTGTATTCCTCCCATCCCAGGGCATCGATTATGGAGTCAAGCTCCTGCGCTGTCCACACGTCGAAACCTCGCAGCAAAACCGCGCCACTTTGGATTAGCCATTCTTCCAGCTGCGATCGTTGCTCCTCGATTAGCAGCGCTCTAGCGAGGGCTCCAGCGTCCTTGGAAGATTCGTGGGCCGGAGCGAGGACGAGCGGAAATGGGGATCCATCGTCGAGCTTCTTTTGGAAAGAGAAGGATAATTGTGAGAAGGAAGACATTGAGCTGCCCGAGGGATTAAACGGAAATGACGATGGCTAGGTAACAACTGTAATTTATTCCTATTTGAATATACTTTGGATATTCTAAATTGCAATACTTTGCAGTAGGGATAAGATGATTTTTTAAAATAATATCTTAAATAGTATATAATAATTTTGTTATTTTTGTTGGTTCTGATACTAATAATACAAGTCAATAAGTGAAGAGTTTTCTTTGAGACTAACAGAAATTAATAAAGAAACTTTCAATAATTATAGTAATTTCCTAATAGAGGTTTTAGTTCAAAATTCAACAGCTATTAGCATAGTAAATATACTTATCTAGGTGTATTATGGATGCATTTTGATTGTGGCATGCTGATTAATATCTTACTCAGTAAGTGTTACATCTCTAAATAAAGTAACGGATATATAAATTATGGCTTAAACTAATTAGTCTTTAAAACTTATATATTTGAAAATCAAGCGTGTGAGTGTGTGCATAAAATATGGAAAGGGAATACAAAAAATGTGCATATCAATTAGCCCAAAAACCTAATTTATATATAAAAGCAAATGGTCCGGATTGAAACCAATCTGATGGGTATTAAAATCCCACTATGCTAATATTAGTATACAATTGATATATGCAATAAGATGGTCATGACCAAGCATACTTAAACTTTCTTATATCACCATACCTTTAAGACCAATATCAAAAGTATTCATGTGTAAAATGAAAGGTCAAGTGTAGTCAGAATAAGCTAAAACTAGAGGAGTTGTTAATAGTTCTTTGAGATTTATAAACACCCGTTCAGACAAATGAAAGATGAGGTTGACAACTTCAACAATACTCATAACAGTGCAATGCAATCAAAAACATGATTAACACAATGACTAAGATATTGCACCTTTCCCAGGAAGTGCTACATATCATTCCCACACTTTGGAGTAGGGAACTTTAAAACAACCACAAGTTTGTCAAAATTAACTTGTAAACCCTCATGAGAAATATAATACCCAAGATAAGTTGTGTCTTTGGACTTAAACACGCACTTCGACCACTTCAACTTTAAAACAACTTTCCATAGCTGATTCAACACTTTATAAACATCATGGATGTGTTCCTTCCATGTCCCCTTTGAGTGGATTAAAATATTATCGATGAAGTTAGCAATCACCTCCGGTATATCGTAAAGAACCTCGTCTATCATCTGCTGGTAAGTTGTTAGAGCATTGTTCAAACCAAATGGCATCACCAAAAACTTGTATAAACCAAATGGTGTGTGAAAAGAAGCCTTAGAAATATCTTCTTCAACTATCGGTATTTACCAGTACCTGACCTTGCACGAATAAGTATATGACCCATTCATCTTTCTTTCAAGAGTATCATTAAGGGGTTTACTCGGCACTAGTTTATTCAGTGTTTATTTTCCAAGGTCATTTTTATAACAAGGTCTTCTATTATTCTCTTTGTGTTAGTTGATACAAATTTGAGTTTATCTTTTATTGCTTGACCTGTTGCCACATGTTGCCGTTAGCATTTGCATCATGTGATAAATCAAGTTTTCATTCTTTATAGCAAAGGCCATACACATGCATGTACATGGGATGAGGTAGATTTGGTTGTGCATGTAGGTGGTCTTAAACTTGAGTTGTAGTCTGGTGTCAAATTAAGCTTTTGACTTTATCCTTGGCATAGATTGGTTGCAACACAATCATACCAAGTGTGACTTTGAGGTTTCTCCCCTTTGTTTCGTACTTCTTGATATTTCTTCTATTCCTCTCACTTTTATACCTCTTTGTCCCTTTACTTTTACCTCTGCTTCTATCACTTTTGTCTCCCCCTTAATTCCTCCTATGTTTTTGTTTTGTTCCTCTCTTTCCTTTTCTAATCCCTCTGACGGTTTTTTTGTTATAGCGGTTGACCGACTCATGAAAAAATATGCCGATCTCTTTGAATTTGATTTATCATTTGGGGCTAAGATTGCAACATGTCATCCTATTCCAATTGGGGATGCTTGTTTAATAAAGGTTCTTATTCATTGTTGGTCACGCAAAGAGATCAAGATTTTACATGCAAATGTCAAAGAGATGTTGGAAAAGGGAGTTATTCAGAAGTTGCAGAATCCTTGGGTATGTGACTGAGAGCATTGGCCAGTCGATCTCCCGGGGGAACTAGAGCCGGCTCTTGAACACTTCACCAAGCTACCCCACTTGTCGGTCCGTGTTCACTCTAGTCTTGGACTTCCCAGTGGGCAGCTCCTCACCCAACACTGGGTCTGGCCTTCCTGGGCCAAACTGGCCTTTCCTGGCCAAACTGGCTCCACTGCAGTCCTCCCCCCTACTATACTTTTGGAGCTCACCAAACCCCGTAGGGTTTGGGAGACGAATGCTTTGGGCTTTCACCCTCTCAGACTCGAACTTGGACTCGGCCTCGGACTCAGACTTGGACTCGGACTCAGACTCGGATTCGGACTTGGACTCGGACTCGGCCTCGGCCTCGGTCTCAGTCTCAGTCCCGATCTCGGTCTCGGTCTTGGTCCCGGTCTCGGTCTCGGTCCCAGTCTTGGTCTCGGTCCCGGTCTCGACTTCGGACTCCATCTCGGGGTCCTTCTCGGACTCCACTTCGGACTCCAACTCGGGTCCATCTCAGACACTTCCACGTGTCATGTGTTGGTCCTTTTGGGTCCCTTTTTGGAGCCTCGTTTATTGCTCTCTTTGTGCTTGTTCCTCGAGCACTTCATTGGGAGTTCCACTCCCGCTCTTGACCTTTCAAGGCGGAGCTTTTAGTCCAAACGTGTTACGCTCGTTTGGCTTTCGCTTCGGCCACTACCACGTGGCGCCCCTCCGGCTCCACTTTGGGGCCTAGGGATTTTGTGTCTCACAGGACATACATATGGATGCCCAATACGTACGATTTCAAATTTATGGGTAGGAATATACCTTGCTCAAGGGTATATTATATTTTTAAGTAGCCACTAATCAATGGGAATCAAACCCATGCAACCTGGCTCCGATACCAATTATAGCACACTTTATCTCTCTCCCCTTAAGCCAATTGGAAAACGGGCAATTGCTTGATGAGAGAGCCCTTAGGGGCTATTTTATCCCCATTTATCCTCTAAGGTTCCAAGGATCCATGGTGACAGTATATTTAAATCTCATCCTATGATCACATGCGCTACACTTACTCACGACTACTCATATAAACCTTCTCAGGGATTGAAGGTTTGAAGTAAGTTTCTAATTAACTCGTGTTTTTGGTAGCTTGTTCTAGGGTGAGAATTACTATACCAACACAAAATCAATGATAACAAAAGCCCTCTGGCTCTTTGCAACCACAATAGTAGACCGTCGCAGCTAGCTTTTCACCAAATTTTCTATTGCATCTGCAATAAAATTGTAGCATAACTTCATCAGAGTTCTTCTAGTTTTCACATGCCCAACAACAAATATCATGGCCACAGCCACGTCCTTGCCCTTGTCCTTGAACTTGGGTAACAGTAGCATCAACTTTCATTG